AATCAGTGTAGAGGATTAATAACTTGTTCACTAACTTTTGAACAATAATAGATCTAATCACAGACGTTGAGTCATACCGTTTAGTATTATACACGTCTGCAGTTTCAATGTATACAACCTCAAATGACTCGCTTTGCTTATAACTTATATATATATATATAGTATAACTTATACTTTAGTTAAGTAAGCTTAACTTCATGTACAATAGTTTGTAATCACACTAACAGTGGGTCGATTAAATAATTAAAACTGATTATAATTAGGTTTACAAAAAACGGTTGTAATATTAGAAATATTAATTAGATATTACAGTTCACTTATATATTTCTATCCTTTTAATTTGACAGTTGCAGCTACAAATAACTTAATAAGTAAAATTCACTAAAAAGATCACACTTAATTTCTAGCAACTCTGTCACAAACAGTGGTTCACACTTTAAGAAAAACAACTTATAAACTTGCCTACTTTGCTATACATTTGTGGCGTATCTTGAAAGTTGATAAGCACAAACCTAAACAAAAGATTAATAATGGCTGGAGACGGCTTGAATGGGTAATGAAGAAAAACTTTAATGTATATATGTTAAACTTATATTAAAGTTTTTCTTCATTACCCATTCAATCCGTCTCCAGCCATTATTAGTCTCAAAGTGGGTTCCTCGTCACCGAATTTAAACAAAAGATTATCTGTGCTGTGCCCACAATGGGTATCGAAACCCCAGTTTTAGTGTTATAGGCCTTCAGACTTGCCGTTGAGCCACTGGCTTGAAAGTTAGCTCTGTGCAATCCAGTTATTGCAAAAGTATTATGTGATGTGGTGCCCTCTAATGTGAAAAGTTCAAATCAAGCGTAATTTTTTCTTCTTTGTATTTTTACTAGCTTTTCAATTTGATTTTGTTGACTTAGAGTTATATTTTGTAGTGTCACTGTTCACTGTCTGTTTCTCAGACTTGTAACAGCCAATAAATAGTATTACTTAAAAAATACATTTTCTTGGTTGGTTAGTGCGGTGAACAATTTTTATGAACAGTATTCTTCTGTCGTTTTCTCACACCTTGTGATTATTGTCACTGTATGTGGCATTTCTAATAGTCGTAAGAGCGTTAAAGACTTTCACTTCAGAACATAATCAACATATGTTCACTAAATCATGATATCTAACCCTCGAAACTGGATTTTCGGCGTTGTAAGCCTTCAAACTTGCCGTTGAGCCACTGAGGAGGCTTGAAAGTTGGTTCTGTGTAACAATAATATGTATATTCTAACGTAATGTGGTGCTCTCTGGTGTGAAAAGCTCAAATCAAAAATAAATTTTTACTTCGGAACACAGTGATCATACGTGCACCAAGTCATAATGTCTAATCGTCAACATACCTATCTATATATATATATGTACCAAGACAGAAGTATCCGAATATTGGAATAACCCTAACCAATCGTCCATACTCATGCACATAGCAGAGGGCTGTTTGCGCATAGATGTCCCAATCCTTGGACTACTCTTACGTGACCTAATAGTGGGATATGATCGTCACGTATACATATATTTATATGTATAGCACACCCGCGGCGTCAAAGTGCAGAGCATGTTTTGCGTTAGCGGATTCATGGCCAAAGCATGTTCACCACTAGGCTATGACTGCAGCTAATTTAATGAGTGAACAGAAAACTTGACTGTAACATATTAAATGGGGGGTTTCGTTTTTGATAAGAGCTTCTTTAACAAATGCGTGGATACATTTTGTAGAAGCTGTTCTAAAATCATTTATGCAAATGCAGAATGGAATTCAGAGTACAATTAGAGTTAATTTTGAGGAAAGTTATTTGGTTATTTTTAGTCGGGATTTAAAAAGATCTCATATCCACACATATGTATATCACAATATCTTAAAGGGACCCCTTATTCTAAGGCCTAGGGATTTAAAAGATCTCATATCCATATATATATATATATCACAATATTTTAAATAAACCATTATTCCATAGTCTTAGGACTTGTGTTTTAATGTAGTATCAACATCGAAACGTATTTTGTGGAATATGGTTAGGAAATTATTATGAAATATTAAGTTATCATTAGATCTGACTGTTAGAAATTTATTGGCATGTTCTTTGTTGTACTAGAAAATAACGTTAGTTCAGAGTAAATTTTGCGTTGAGACCTTTACATTTGGTATTTTCTAGATAAAAGTTAAATGTTCTTACGTCAATGTTTCCCACTTCCATTAAGTCAATAAAAGGTGCATGATTTGATGTTGTACTTGAATGTTTGACTGGTCAATTTATCCTGAAGAAATTGTACCTACTGAAGACAAAATGTTACGTAGTTTCATATGTAACTTTCAATATCTATTCAGAATTCTGATGAGGATCAGTACCACGTTTAGCATTCATATGGTTTGGACAGTACTGCTCATCATCAGTAGTACTTCGTGTAGCATTCATGTGGTCTGACTAGTACTGCTTAGTATCAGTACCACGTGTAGCATTTATATGATCTGGTTAGTACCACGTGTAGCATTCATGTTACCTGGATAGTACTGCTCAGTATCAGTAGTACCGCCTGTAGCATTCATATGATCTGGCTAGAACTGCTCAGTATCAATACCACGTGTAGCATTGATGTGATCTGGCTACTACTGCTCAGCATCAGTAGTACCACGTATAGCATTCATAGGATCTGGTTAGTACCACGTGTAGCATTCATGTAGTCTGACTAGTACTGCTTAGTATCAGTGCCACGTGTAACATTTATATGATCTGGTAAGTACCACGTGTAACATTCATATAATCTGGCTACTACTGCTCAGCATCAGTAGTACCACGTATAGCATTCATACAATTTGGCCACTACTTCTCAGAATCAGTAGTAGCACGTGTAGCATTCATATGATCTGGCTAGTACTGCTCAGAATCAGCTGTACCATGTGTAACATTCATGTGATCTGTTATTATCTAATATATATATTCATTGTTTGATATGAGATGTGTCATCTTATCATTATTACCAAATAACAATATATGTTAAGCAGATGGTTTTATGAATTATTTTTCATATTGGTATATGTTTGTAAAAGTATGTAACAGGTTGCTCTATCATGGGAACGAGAGAGCGTTGTTTGTGGCGACAAGACACCAATTACAATATATATATATTTAAAACCCGGGTATGCAGTCTCGAGTGGGTACACAAATCAACCAACTCGAAGAAATTTACAAGTAAAGCAAGGAATAAATGATACCGAGTCCAATTCTACACCACAAGATATACACTTTATTAACATAAAGATATGAAGGCTTACAATGAATGAAAAACAATAACATCGATTATATAAAGGTTTACACTTTTAGTAACTTATATTAGATCCATAATGTTTCTAACCCTATCAACATTACTTATTTAACTTTAATGACTTTTGCATTATACATCATATTTCCACCTGGCAACATAATTGATGAAAGAAGAGTAGCAATTAAAACTTACATGGAGTTAGTGTAGTGCAAGTCAGAAAGTTAGCTAAAAGAATTGGAGCAACTGGAAAGCCTGGAATAACCTGGAACCCTCTGGAGCAACCTCGAGGTCGGGAACAACTCTGCTGTCGGGGACAACTACACTTTTGGTCCAGAAACATTAATTGTTATATGGTTTGGCAGCATAATCCATTCAAACTCATGGGGTAGACTTCGAGGTGACTGGTCCAGAAATTAGGGTGGAGTCGTCTTCCTTTAGATTGGTGCCCAGTGACCAAGGGCTTGACGTCAAATAACGTAAAAGGTTACCTGTGTATACTCCACATTAAATTCTTGGTATAGGATTTATAGATTCCCGCTGCCCTGATGGACCATCTGTCCGATATCGGCCGTTTATGTTTATGATATTTACGTAGTTTGATTTTATCAAAACTTCATTCAAGTCGACCTATCATACTTTGCTTATACTTCAATTCAAGCCCATACCTCTAATCCACGTGCGGGGCGAAGGAGGATTGTTTAATCTTCGAGCGCCCCTGATTATTAATCATTTCTTCTGAAATAATTAAATTCAAATCAAAATAACTACAAGGAACAGGCATGCACCTGTGTATACAGTTTCTCGTCCTCTTTAGTTTGTATAGACATCTTCTTCCAACTAAGTGGTATCAGATTACATTTCTCATCCCTGAACACAACTGTTTAAACATACATATCCGTCTAGTTAGAATCACTTTACATGAGAATCCCTTACATTATCACTGATATGCAGACAATGTTAGTTGTCCTTGACAAGTGTATTCAATGTTTATCTTTCGTTAGCATTTCACAACTATTATTTTGCAACACATCCTAAGTCCATAGTTTAGCTTGGTTGAAACATGTGTTTATTGTAAAGTGGCAGTTCAGCTCGTGAGAAAGAAAGCTGAAACATTTGTTTAATATTTTGCAATACGGCCATAAGCTCAAAGACTGTACTTAGCCTGTGAGAAAGTATAGTTGAACTATTTGGTTATTCTAGGGTGCTTCAAGTAAACCAATTAATTATTTCAAAAAATTGAACTTTCTTGTTACAAACTTTTACTCTTTTGTTTTGAGCATGACAAGGTTATTCATAGTTATGTATCCTGTGCAATACAAAAATTAACTATCATGATAGAAAAAATTACATAGTTTGATACTGAATGAAATAATTTTTGTATTTGTGAAAGATGCAAATGTGTAATTGTTCGCAATGATTTTAAAACTATACTAGACGTGCCACTTTGGAATCTCGGTGGTGATGATGATGTTGGCTCCTGGCGAATCTGGGTTTTGTAGAATATACCTATGTTTTGACGTATGTTCACAAGCAAAAGTTTTATCACTCGTTACTAAAGCAAAATAAGCTATCTCTCCTTTAATAATACATAATTCACACTTAAAACTTTGAACAATGCGCATTTATTTTTCAGTATGATAAATGTTTTTAAAGTGTATTGTGACAAATGTAGTTAATATAATTTTCTTCTATTTATTACCTTCAACAGACTCGACTAGATTGAACTTGATATAACATTCAAGCCATGGAAAAAGACGTTAACTTAAAGTCTCAAGATGCTGAAGAATCGAAGAACGAAGAAGAGAGAGAAGCTTTTCTAAGTCAAGATATACCACAGATACAGAAAAAGCGTTTCTCACCATCTTTCTTTTCAAAAGAAATAATTGTTTGCGAAGCAGCTCCACGGCCACGAAAAGTAAGGTATGCAAAAGAATCCATAGAAAGCAAAGTCGAAACAGAAAAAAAATCCAAAGATCCTGAAACTCCACAAAATATACCTCAATAATTGGTATTTCAAACGATTAGAAGATGATGTTTGACTTTGATTCAACAATGTTTATTAAATTTTCATTTAACAGAGAATGATATTGTAGCTTAACTTTATTCACTTGTGTTATGAATATTCAAAGTTTAAAATCGTCAAAAGTAATAATTTACGTGATTATAGGATACCCAGGAACATTAGATAAAAACAAAGCAGCTTCTAGACATACAGAATATGAATATTTCTTTTTGTGTATCATGCATTTGAGTTAGTTAATAAAACGCAGTTATTTACCGTTTTGATAAGACCCATAATTTGAAGTGTGAGATTATTGAATTTCGAAAAGTGTTAATTGAGTTTTTGATATCTAGCACTTGACGAGGATCCGAATAACAAACTCTTACAGTTTTTTCTTTTAAAAATACTCCTAGGTGGCTCAGCGGTAAGTCATTAAGCTAAAACATTAAAAACGGGGTTTTTAATACCCATGTGTACAGAGCACAGATAGCTAATTGTGTGACTTTATACTTCACAGCAAGCAATAAGCAAACAGTCCTTAAAGATAACAAAATAAAAGCCAATACTTTCTATAAAATGAAGTTGACTCTGAAACTTTGTCACTGAAAATTAGTTTGTACTTCTCTAAAATTATCCTGGAGATAAATAACCATGTCCATTTTTACAACATTATTAGCTAAAGGGAAGGATTTCTTTCTGGGCAGTAACTTATGGCAGGTTAAAAAAAAAGACACGTTTAAAACGCATTCATTTGCTAATTGTATTTTTATAGGCAAAAGGTTTAGCTTTAGAACAACACTTTCATATGGTTACTTTCTAAGGATCTCATACCTACAGTTGTTATTTTAGTAAATAACGTGAACATGTTGGCTGATCTAACGTGTAATATATCACAAGCTGCTTGAATGTATTATAACTTGAAAAAGTTAAATGTTCTAATGGGAAACGTATGGCAAGCCTACAAAGTGTAATTTTGGAGTTAATACCTTATGCAGCTAGATAAAAGCATGACCAACTAAAGATAATATTACAAAGTTTTGCTAAAACATATTGACTTTTTATTACCATTTTCACGGTTTGCTAAATAATTTTTGGTATATTTTTAACCTCTTTGTTTATACCCATATTTGAATTTAGTATAAACTAATTGAGAAAATTAGCGAAACTGTACAAATTTAAGAGGAAGATTTAGTACATCTGTTTTCACAGACATATATATTTTAAATGGCTTGGAATAACTGGAGTTAGTTATTCAGCTGATTCATTAATGAATCAGAAGTGCAGAAACTTTCTGCGAAGAAATTTTAGTTATTTGCTATAATTTTTACTTAGTTGTCACAATTGTCTTTCGATCATTACTTCCTTACCTGGTATAAAATTGTTCAGAAATAAGGAAGGAATTTGAAAAACAAGCGTTGATCGTTTGCACAATTACAGGAAACTTAAAAATTTGCACACTCTATTATTTGAACCTGCTGCCATCTATGGGCTATTTTCTTAACTACTGATCTCCTGGCGTACTTTAAACATCCTCAACTTGAACATGCCTATACTCTCATCGCATGTTTTGTGTAATCACTTATATATATGTGGCTGCCATTACTGTTTGAATTCCGAAAGTCTGCTAGTTTTTCCTGATTCTATGCTTAAATTGTAGTTTTGATAAGATGGAATTGACCAATTCCTTGTGTGTATCTTTCACCCACAATTTTGTTGTCAAGCTTTAGAACTGCATCAGTGGTTTCTTTCTCTGAACAGGTTAGATTTAAATAATATCTACAGTCAGAATCACACAAATTGGAATGCGAGTTTAGATTAATTTTGTCGTTGATGACCAATATTATTATACTTAAATAGGGAACAGGAATTACATATAGTTTCAGTTACCCCTACCACTTGTTGCTTTTCTGTAACCGGAATTAACTGCTGTAGTTCGTATCTTTCAAAATTGCTCAATGACATGTTAGAAGTGGACACTTCGTTATGCGTGAATAAGAATCCGAATTTCTTTAGCAGATAGTGAACAGCAGTGCTGAAAAAACAACAACAACAACGAAAAAAACATGTTAGTGCCTTTTTGACCAATATCATCCGCTGAAAAATCCATTCCTATTTTTTGTAGTTCCTGGAGCATTAGAAATTAATTAATCGTAAAACGTGACCAATATATATTTGATAAACCATACTCATACACGTTATCTATACATACTTACAGGTTTGGATTTTTGTTTTATTCATCATCTGCCGCTTTCTTTTGGTGCATGTATACCTTACTCAATTTCTAAATACTAGCTACCATACATATCGAGTAGTTTTTGAATAGAAGATATTTTCTTTATTGCTCCTTCAGCAGAGGCAGTTAGTGGCCCACAATATGTGTGTCGGGCTGCGTGTCGAATGTCCAAGGTTCAAACGCTATATACTACTGTACACGCTTTGCACTTTCAATAGGGAAATCATAACTGAAGTAAGCAATCCCGCTATCCGGTTAAAAGTAGCTGCGTAGCCCGATTTTTTACCATCACAAATCATACAGCTCAGAAAATAATGTTGACTGTTGGATCTTCATAGTAGGTTCCTTTGGCAAAGATTGTTCTTCCAACACCACAGTGTATTCTTGCGTGATATATATGGAAGTTTGTTTACCACAGGGACCACCTTTGCAAATCCTTTCTAAAGGGTGGGATTATTTGTGACGTATTTGTAAAAGTTACATATTCAGACCATAGGTGACGGCTCTTGTTGTCGGAAGAAAATTATCTTCTTTACAAAACTCTAACAATATAGTATGCAAAGCCTTTAATGACTACCAATTCATACTGCTTTGACTTTGGCTTGATTCTTCCTATCTGGGGTATCCTGTTACCACCCTTTCATATGTTAAGAAATTCCTGCTATATATTGATTAATCTTGTAATTTACCACAACTTTATTGAGCCAGTTTCCTAGTGTCGCATCTAGCTGCTCGAGATAGTAGGCGACTGTTTGGAGGAGTATATACTGAAATTCTGCTTAATAAACAATGGGCCTATTAGTCAATGCTGAAGATGTGCATGTTTTAGGTGATGTTGCTGGTTGATATTTAGGGAGGTGTTGGTTTCAATATTCCATATGTTCTTTAAAGAATAATGACAGGTACCATAAAACACAATCTGTTATTTTCATTTCCCCTGAATATGTCTTCTTGGATCACTCACAACAAAGTCAGAATTACATGATTTCTATTCTATTACTGTGTTCCAAATGAGTAATATCAACCCTAGTTCCCGTATTTCCCAGTAATTGTGGCACTAATAATATTACAGCAAGAAAAATGACACGAATCACTCCCAAGTGCAGCTTTAAAGTATGAGTGAAAGAATTCAACAAAAGATCCATTAGAGTCAACTTCAGACAATTGCTCTAAATCGAAACCAAGTACATATACTAAAATAACTTACAAATCAATGTTTTTCTAATCAGAGTTAACATTAGGTCGATATTGACCTAGATAGAAGCTGTTCTGTTACTTCACTAAGAATTTGGAGCATAACTCCAAGTAACAGGATGTTTTATTCTCACCATCTTACATAAGTATATTACAAGGTGGTCGATAACAAGAGGGTAACTGAAAAAGATGCTTGTGGGCAAACTAATCGCGGCATTATCAGGGTATTTTCTCAGATTTAGCCCCCCCCCCCCCATGGTGAGCAGAGCACAGATAGCCCATTGTTTATTTTGTGCTTAACTTCAAACAAACAAACAATCTCAGATTTAAGGTGTATTGAACATTTCTATTTTCATGTGTGGTTTTAAAATGTCTTGATGATAGATTTTTTTTTACGATAATCTCAGTTTCAGAGATTTGCACTGAACGTTAAGTGAACGTAATTAACAATCATTAAGTTTAAAAAATAGTTTGTTTCAGGTTTTTCGCGCCAAGCTACTCAAAGGGCTGTCGGAGCCAAACAGTTCGTAATTATGAATGATAGATTATACCACGAACCCTCAAATTAACAGTCAAGCACGCTAACCACTAGGCCACGGCCGACCCCATTAGAAAACAGACACGAAGGTCTTATATGATAGGCGCCTGTAATATACTTAAAGGGCACGATATCTAACTTGAGCCAAATTTCGAAACCTAGTTCATAACAATAGCCCTAACAGGGTTTGTCTGACCCAGCAGTTACTTTGCTGTTTTTCACGGACTCGTCACAGGCAACAGAATGTAGATCGAACACACCCCTTCAAAACGCAGTACGACGTCCTGACTGAGCTTCAACCGAGAATCCTCAAAGAGCTTTAGAGGAGCTCTTAGGAACACAGTAACTTTTGCAAATAATTTATAGTCTTTTGTCTCCAGTGTTATTTCTACAGCTATTAGGAGTTATTTTTTTATATTATTATTAGTTACAGCAGGAACTGTTATCGGTGCAGGTGTGGAGTCCGCGAGGACTATGTTCATAACGAAGAGGTCGAGAACTGATGCGCTAAGCTACACGTGATTAAACATTCTAGTTTGGTTTGAATTTAAAGCAAAGCTACTCAACAGCTATCTGCGCTAGCCGTCCCTAATTAACAATGATAGGCTAGGGGGAAGGTAAGTAGTCAACACTATCCACCGCCAACTCTTGGGCTACTATTTTACCAACAAATAGTGGGATTGGCCGCCACTTATAACGCCCCCACGGCTGAAAGGGCCAACATTTTTGGTGACGGGGATTCGAACCCGCGACCCACAGGTTGCGAGTCGAGAGGCATAACCACCAGGCCATGGAAGGCCCAAACAGAGAAAATCTGTTACAAAATATCTTGAAGTACTTGTTTCTCTTCTTAAGGTAAAAAAACATCAACAACCAAGTATCACATGACTCCACATATGGAATCACACAAAAAGTACTGGAGTTTAAGTAACTTCTAGCTCTATTAAGATTGTTTGTTTGTTTTTTAAAGCAAAGTCATAATAAGCTATTTACTTTGTCTACCGTACAGAATCGAAGCGTGGATTTTAGCGTTTTACATCCATAGACTTACCGCTGTCCCACCGGAAGACAACTTCATTAGAAGTTTGTTAACAAGATAGTGAAGCTTATACTGCAAATTACCGTTTGTGTGTAGGAATAGGGATATGTTCCACACTCTGTACACTTGAGTTTTATCTCGTGCAAAAATATTAAACTTACACGTGAATTACGTTTTTGCTGTATACATCATGAAATGCAACAGTAACTTATACAACTCGACGCTTTTCCTTCTCTGAATGCATAGTGTTCTGTCTTTAGGATATTTTGCGGGCGCTTCTCGATGTTTCTATCCTTGTCTAAAAGGAATAACTATGATTATTTAAAATAGGCTTATTTTGAGTGTGTTTTTTTCTGATTGAGTAATTTACTTTTATATTATACATACAAACCAATAACGTTTATTAAACCACGTGTCTTGTTTCTATTGTTTGTTTCTATCTCTTTCCGAAATTTTCAATAACTTTAAAACGCATTTCAAAACTATATTCAATTACAGGAAGTGTTCTTTAATATGTATTGTTTATTCTGCTTTCATATTGAAAATAACCAAGAAACTATTCAAAAAACTATTTAATGTATTCTTCATTCAGTTTTTTTTTTATAGTGAAAATAATCCATAGGCCACTTAGTAACAGGGCATGTCCTTTAATGTATTTCTTATTCACTTTTACACAAGAAGAACAAAATGTCGAGAACATTTTGTTAGCTTTTCTTTCGAACACGTACAACATAAGATAAATAACACTGTTTACAAGCATTTACACAGTTATTATTATTGTTAACTATTAGATTTTATTATGGACAATCACTATATATATCTTGTACTAGTCTAAATGTTCTAGTAAAACGTAATTTAAGGATTATATATATGAAGGATAACATAGAAAACATTATGATTGTTCACAAATGATATAAACAATTTATAGAGTTATTTAACAATTGGAAATTGAAAACTTACATACAACAGGTACTTAACGCAAGGTAAGAAACAATACATCGAGGTTTGATGCAATATATAAAATACTTCATTGTTACCGTTCCTTTGAACCTTGACTGTCTTAATTCATGTTGGAAACCAAGACGTCATAATTAACTAAGAGCCAGAGGAACCATCACACAACTACACGATATGTGTATTACGTCCATATTTAACACCAAGATGCTAATTTGACTACTTTCGAGTCATCTGTACGAAGTAAAACATTATGTGTGAACGTTGATAAATTTTTGAATTAATAGTAATTACCTTTAAATGACTAACTATTCTTTAACGAAATTGAACTAATTTGATAAGATTAAATGTTTGCTCTCGTCCTTGGTGTTATTTATGTAACTAAGTTAATTACCGTATATTTATTACTTTCACTTCAGCTACTTCATTATATGTATATATATATAATTGTATAGCCACTTCCACATTCAAAATAACCCGCGAACGTGCAAAAAAACGTTTTTAGGCTTAACGATTACCTACAGGTTAAATAGTACATGAAGTAAAATCACAATTAAAACAACCTGACGTGATTTACTATATTTTTAATCCCACGTGACCATTTTACTAGCACACAAAGAATATTTTAAAAAATGTCACCGTGTTTAGCAAAATTTAGCGGTAATTTTTCAAAAGCATCCGATAAGCTTACTCGTAAAAATTAGTAACAATTTTCAAAGTAATTTTATTTCAATGTGCTAACATATATTAATACTATATAGAATATCTCACGGATTTATCAATAAACGTGTATGCTAGTTACAGTAATAAAGAAGTATAAATTGACGTCTCCTTCAATTAGCAACAACATTTTATTTTAAATGAAAAAATTAAAATACTTAACTAACTTAAAATAAACAAAATTAAATTTAAGGCCTTGTTTTTCTACACGAGTGTAAACAGTTGACCTAAAAATGATCATTTCGCATCTAAATAATAATTTTCTTATTTATCATGATGAATTACTGTTCCATGAGATGTCAGTAGTTTGCAAACTGAAATTAAGATTAAATCATTTTCGAACTTAAGAACAATTTATTAAGAAAGAGACACCTCTCACATTTGGTTAAATTAATCATTCTAACTATTTCTACTGACATTAAATTGAAATACGACATTATACTAATATATCAATTTATACATACAGTTAGTTGGCCGCATATGAAGCAATATAAAAAAAATCAACGAATAAAAATAAAACTTGCAATGCCACCAGATAAAGTACATGATGAAAAATGAAAGCATGCGAAATCTGAGCTCTTTCAAAGCTCTAGTAAAAACTATCTACACATTTCAGTAAGACATAACAACAGATATATATATATGTCTAATCTCCTTTTTCATTTACGAAATACGATGGGGAAAAAATTACCATCTCACGTGGAAATCTGCAAGTTTTGACAGAGGAGGAGTTATAAATTTCCACTTTGTTTTTCCAACATAGCTAGGTGTAGTATAATTTACCTAGGTTTTCGGTAATGTTGAATATATGTAATTATAAGTGATTTATGACACAGAAATTAAAACGCACAGACACAATTATCACTTCATCATTGAAAGGCTTTATTAATTTGTATTTATGAAATAACTATTAAGGTTATTTGCCGTCCTTTCTAATTTTAAACGACTGATAAAGGGATGGCAGCCGGTCAGCAGCATCTTACTACTCACCATTCATGCTAATTGATTCACTTTGACCCCAATTATTCACTCACAGCTTAAAGTGTGATAAAAATATTATGCTATTACACGGTTTCGCACCCGGCTTGTTAGATCCAAAATCCAGAGCTCTAACATTGAGCCAACATGTGCCGCTGTAAAAGTAAATTCACAAGAAATATGCATTTTTATTACTATTATCTTAATAAGTAAATTTAAATATGAGTACTTATATATTTGGAATGGTTAGAAAATTCTACATAAACTTTTTGTTTTTTCTTCCGTTGTTGGATTTTTTTTATTTCCTTTCTTTTTTGTCTCATTTATTTATTGATTGTGAAAAACATTGGTTGGAAAAATTACTAGCGAATTCATATAACATTTTGAACTGCATAATACTCAAAAATACACTTGTAGAATTGAACTATAACGTAAATGTTTTCATCAGGTGTCATAAACTTTTTTACTCGAGCTCCACACAATATTTTTCACTACTTAACTGAAACTTCCATGGTCTGCTGTTACCAGTTTCTAAGCTTATCTCAAAACACTTAGTATTAAAAAATCGCCATATTCGTTTAGTGTCTAACATGTGCTTTAAAAACACTTAAAACAGGACCGATTAACCATTATAGACACCATTTGTCTGCATGTATATGTGATATATTTTTAGGCATTAATCGTGTTTCACGATTTTCAGATCAGAGCAGGAAATAAATAACATAATCTGATTGACTTGTAGTGACGTGTAACATATGGTAATTTGGGAATACCAGTAAGTAATTTGAGGAAACTTGGAATTGAGGACGATGATAATATGGCATTTTGAACTGACTCGGAATAATGAAGTGGTATTGATAAACCAAAAACAGCTGAGGATAATAAAGTGGTATTGATAAACCAAAAACAGCTGAGGATAATAAAGTGGTATTGATAAACCAAAAACAGTTGAGGATAATACAGTGGTATTGTTAAATCAAAACCAGCTGACGATAATAAGGCGGTATTGTTAAATCAAAACCAGCTGACGATAATGAAGTTTTATTGATAAACCAAAAACAGCTGAGGATAATAAAGTGGTATTGATAAACGAAAAAGAGTTGAGGATAAGACAGTGGGATTGATAAACAAAAACAGCTGAGGATAATAAAGTGGTATTGATAAAACGAAAACAGTTGAAGATAATTCAGTGGGATTGTTAAATCAAAAATAGCTGAGGATAATGAAGTGTTATAGTTAAACAAAAACAGCTGAGGATAATAAAGTGGTAAAGGGTGTTGAAATCAGCAGTGACACAAAGAATGACTAGATTATGGTGATCTATACAGACCTAGAACAGCAAAAGTTGATTTTGGTAATATGGAGGACTTGTAACAATTGAAGGCAAGAATATATAGCTAGAATATGACTAGGGTATATCATTATTGGATAGTTCTGGAACTGTGGAGAACAAGAATATAGAACCACAAAATTACTAGACCACATGTTAATTGGGTAGATCTGAAACAGTGGAGAACAAGAACACAGAACCACAATAGGACAAGGCCATATGATAATTGGACAGATTTGGAACAGTGGAGAACAAGAACACAGAACCACCACAGGACTAGATCATATGTTAATTGATTAGATCTGAAACAGTGGAGAACGAGAACACAGAACCACAATAGGACAAGGCCATATGATAATTGGACAGATTTGGAACAATGGAGAACAAGAACACAGAACCACCACAGGACTAGACCATATGATAATTGGATAGATCTGGGACACTGGATAGTAAGAACACAGAACCACCACAGGCATAGGTCATACGATAATTAGACATATCAGGGACAGTGGAGAATAAGAACATAGAACCACCACAGGACTAAGCCATATTGTAACTGGGTAGTTATAGATTTTAAAAATAAGACTGATGTGGTAATCTGGATAGTTCTAGCACACGAATCAAGGTGAATGTAATAACATGTATTGACGTAGAACACAACAGGTTAATCATATAGTAACTTAAGACTTAGAAGTATTCTACATTGGTGTAAAATAAAGCAGGATATGACAATACTGAGATATTAAGTGCAGAGATTAAGAAAATTTCAGTAGTTAGATCTCTGGCGAAGATGTGTAATATTAAAGGATCAAGAGCAGAGTAATGGACAATATGGTAAGTAGATAAACGTGGAATAAATGAAGATGGGATATACTAAAGTAGGTTGAAGTAATGAGGTTAAGAAAACAGCAGCTACACTTAGCTTGGCACAGATAAAACATTCCGGAGAAGTATGTATTTTAAAGATTAATATTAAAAATCAACAATATAAAAAGGCGTCAACACTAAGTCATAGGATGTTTAATGTGTAGTTGAACAAATTGAAGATAACATTCTAAGAATGTGTAGTGTCTTTGGTGCTGATGTACGTTACCTAAATACAAATATCATGAGTATTCTTTCAGCGACTTTTTGTGAATGAAACTGAGAAAAGTTAATAAAGCTTTTTGCTATTCAGTCAATACTGGATAACAATTTGTAGCACAGCTATGCTCATATTCAGCTATAGAAATGTGGTATACCTTGGGCCAAACTGTTATAATTTTGTGCTTAAGAAAAGAGATGTATGTCATGTTATGTTTATCATTAACGCAGTTTTTAAATAATTTATCTCACTTCTTATGAGCTTCCTTTCTCTTTGACTAGAAAATGAGGATTTACCCCCTCTTCTTTCTGTATTTCTGGAACAGCCGAACATCTTAAACTTCCATAGTTCTGAAAAACTTCTTGGGGGTAGAGTATCGCGGCAGTGGATTATGGAGATTTTCCGGTTCGACGTCCTCAGCAGCTGTGGCTTGCACGACCTTATTGGTAGCAGCATCTAAATGTTGGTATTGGCATTCGGAACTGAGATTCAGTTTTTCCTCACGGAGTTCAATACTCCAGAAGGGAAGGCGTGGTCTACTCCGTCGATGGGACCAATATCGATAACATGTAGCACTAGCTGCAACCAACAGAATCACCCCAAGGGTGACAACGACAGCGATCAACGGAACTGTTCCATCTGCTATTGAGCGGGCTGAAAATTAGTAACAATAATTATCATTTATTTTACCAACAAAAGCAAAACTGAAACACACTGTATCTCTTTAATACAGAGTTTCCCAACCCATGGGTCGAGACCCAATATTGGTTCGTCAGAATGCGTGAAAAGGTCTCGAATATACTTTAAGAATATATACCTGTATATTTATTTAATTATTTAGTAAGTATTCAGAAAACCAGATAAGCTTTTGCACGACAGTTATTTAATGGGACGCGACGGCCCATAAATATATACAAATGGGTCCTGACCCTCCAAAAGGTTGAGAACCACTGCTATCACAAGATAAACAACAAATTAATTAGATACTGAGGTTAAAACCGCTACCAGAAGTGGGTTTTTAATGACAAACAACAAAAGTATTCATTGTATAATATTGAAATAAAATATGTCAACGACTGTATGTTGTATATTAAATAGTTGGATAAAAGTTGAGTTAAAAACTGGAATGACATCTTTATTATGTTTAAAAGTCAAACAAAAATGGAATTTTTTAAAAGCATTACATACTACATTATATTTACCAAATTAAATAGAGGACACTATACGTTTTCTTCTTGGTGCCGTATCATATGAAATTAAAAATACCGTTTTAGTTTTTGTACGTGCGTGAACCAAATGAGAATTAAGAGGTTGCCATAATTCGATAAGATAAGGAAACAAAGTCTCCAAATTGCAGTCAACTCTTTGTCGCCAAAACTAGCTTTTAACCACAGGTCAGCCAATCAATACCCACCATACACAATACAATCTTTTCCTCACCATGTGTCGCAGGTGCCGAGACCCAAAGAACCAATAATGAGAGAGGAATCATCAATGTTTGGTTAAACGTTAGAAATTACACTATTCTGAACTGCAGAACACTTACAGCGAAAGGAAAGAAAAAACAAGCAATCAGCATGATAAATATAACAGAAATACGTAGGAAAGATATGTGCAGACAATAAAGGACATGTAAAAAAGATCGATTAAATTACATAAAATAGGAAACGATAGGATAATGTACCAGAACTTTTCTGTGCGGTTGGAGATCCCAGGTTTTCCATCAAGAATATGCAGTCTATACAACTGGGATCATCCCGCTGTTCTGCACACAGGCTAAAACTCAGACAGTTTAATGCTACACAGTGGTCTTCCTTCCAGTGATAGCCCGCTGTACAGGAATCACACAAAACATCCCTGTGTCCTGGTAGGCATGACGTGCACGTGACCTTTCCGGATTTGTCTGAAAACAAAAAAAAGAAAAAAAAAGGAAGAAAGAATGAGGTTGTTGTCATGGTTAATAGTCAAAGCATAAGGGTATTACCCCCTTTATATCAAAATGCAGCAACCTTGGTATAAACGTTGAAATACTGAAGTAAAAGTACAGAATTGATTGTTGTATGGGATTAACTGAAAAATACGTTGAAATATTGAAATAAACGTATAGATACTGCTGTACAGGTTGAGCTGAAAAATACGTTGAAATACTGAAGTAAAAGTACAGATATCGTTATACAGGATGAATTGAAAACTACGCTGGAATATTGAAATAAAAGTACAGGGATTGTTGTATAGGATGGGCTGCAAAATTCGTTGAAATATTAAAATAAAAGTACGAGAAGTGTAAAAAAAATATCTGCCGCCATAATGTTATTTTTATTACATATATTAGGCCTATTTACTTACAATGCTTCAAGAGGCAATGCAATGTTCGAAAAGAACAGTCAATTTTTGTTGGATAAGATGAGCCCTTGTTTATACTTCCGCGTAATGTTTAATAACTTTTTATACTTGCATTTTGTTCGATAACGTTTAGTTATTTGTAGGCAAAAGAATCAAATTCAAACTTTTACAGTGTAAATACAGATTGCTTACTTTAAGCTACAATTATGCAACAAGACTATTGAAAACACAAAAGGAAAAATATTTACCTAATGAGCAATCTCCTGATGACGTAATGTTGGTACAAGGGCATGGTTTACATTCCTTTCCATCCCGATAGTTGCCGGGTGAACAACTCTCGCACCATCTACCGGCATAACCAGGAAAACATGTGCATTTCACAGTTCCATGCATTCTCGTGCAGGCCACCATGCCTGGTTCACTGCAATTACACTCTGCGAAATTTGAGAAGAAAGCTGTGATTAGTTGAGAATACACACGTCCATGTTACAAGATATATAGTCAACCTTTGTATAAGTCTAAAATTCGAGAAAATATGATAAATTATTTTATGGTTTATTCTGAGCACCCCGTATGACAATATTAGTACTTGAGCTTGAGTCAAATATAAATGTTCCATCTAACAGGGGTGATGACCTGTGTTCAATAGTTTTAAGTGCTAAAGAACAGTGACAAGTTTTATCAGCTAATCGGACGACATTAATTTTTTATAAAAAACAACAATAATTTATAAATACTTTAGTAAATGAGCTAAACCAAAACAATTAAAATGAATGCATGCACATCAGTTAAGAGCTGATATCAGATATACGTCTAGAGTTTTAACATTAATATTTCCTTTTCTAGATTAAGGTAGTGACTTAATCGGAATTTATTTACAAGTGAAATATAGAGTTACACGTGAAATAGGTTTAATATTTGTATTCATAACAAAGCTACTAAGTCTGTCTGCCAACGTCCCTCATTTTGAACTTACGACCAGAATAAATGCACTCAGTCAGCAACACCCAAGCATCCACTATCCTCGCTACGCTAAGGTATTGACCGTTACTCTTATAGTGCGCACAAAGCTTAAAGTGCGAGAAATATTTGTGGTATCGCATGGAATCGAATCCAGTTCGCCAACTCCAAAATCCAGGGCCAATCTGCACCCCATATGTTTAATCCATATTATACTAGACTGGTAAGTTTGTTCACTACTTGTTGGGATAGACCAGCGTGACGAAAGAGAAGAAATATTTTTCTTGATCTGCATTCGATACTCATACTCAATATATTTTTATTTCTTAATTAACCGTAAGCCTAAGGGTGCGGAAAAAAGTATTAGGACTCCTCCAACAACAGAGTGGATACCACATTAGAAAACAACTATTAGGCGTTTCCTTTCACAACGATAAATATATATTTGCTGTTAGTTCTGACGTATGTTTCGCTGCTAGGTTCGAAAGTAACTGTGTGCAACTGTGAATTTATGTAATTAGGATATGTATAGTTAAAATATTAATGAAATGATAAAACGAACCTGCAAGTCTTGATTTTCATACGAACTATTTTAACTATTTTACTCGAGCGGTCTCAAGTAGTACATAATAGTAACCACATTAGGGAAAAATAAGTACTGATTATACATACTTGAAGTTCGTGTGACAGACATGCATTGAGCTGAAAATGTCCACAAAAAATATTACTTATTTATCATAGACATAGAACTTTAACAAGGTAAGTGTTTTATATTATTAATGCTATTAATTGATATTTGTTTTTAAATATGCGTATCAAAAACATGGGTATTACGGTAAGAAATCAAACTAGAACCATTTGGTGATTCGAATTAGAATTATTGATCACGGAAATGAACAAAGTATGCTCAACAAAAATAATTAAAATATAATTAGGCTTAGGTGATTAAGCATGTACAGCTTGTGTACTGGAATAATATTGGTCTAAGTAAAAAAACATGATGTGGAGTGAGATGATACAAAACAAGAAAGTAAAACAAAAACAATAGCTAATATAAAGATAATAATGGGAACAAAGAAACGAAATATCCGAAATTTTCGCAAACTCTAGTGAAAATTTGTTAAGATTGTCACGCAGAAAGACAATTATATTCACAAAAAAAAAAGAACACTGTCGAAGTGCATAAGTTTTATGTTGTGAACGATTGTGCATTCAGCGTGTCTGAAAAAAAAGAGTAAATTTCTAATAGAAAAATCCACCAGTGCTTTAAGTTCGATTTTCTTGTACGACCAACAAAATTCTTTATTTTTTACCTGTTCGTTAACCCTAAATGAATACAATAGATAGCTTGAGGTTTAGCTGAAAGCTAGATGATAATGCTTTTATCCTGTATTGACGCGCAATCTCAATCATTAAATGGACTTATTTTCGGCAACAGAAACTGAACAACATAATCCTCTGTTATTTTCTTAAATCTGCAGCAGAAACGTGCTTTCCTCTCCTAAACTCATATAATTCCGTCACACAATTCTATATAGTCACTATCTTATTGAATAAAA